CCCCAGCTCACTACGCCTTCAACTACGGGGTTCAAGACGCCTACTTCGGCACCAACTTCGGCCACGCGGAGTCTCGCGACGGCTACAACACAGAGGGCGTGTACTACGTGCACCTCCCCGACGGCCGCCTCCAGACGGTCAAGTACTACGCGGACGAGCACGGCTTCCACCCCGAGGTCGCGTACTCGGGGGTCGCGCACCACGCCGCCGGTTACCACTAGTCGCTGCCAAAACGTGGAATGGAGTGAAGGGTGAATGAGTATGTTGTGACAGAATGGTATTCCCGCAACTCTGTATTTGTAAATAAAGGATTCTCACTTACTTTGTAACTGTTTTGTTTCCTATTGTAGATTTGTGGTAACTGTACCTTACAAATAGGCATAAATATCTCATGAGTCAATATCTCATTTACTAACATAACACACACACACACATATATGTACATATATACGTATATATATATATATATATATATATATATATATATATATATATATATATATATACATATATATATTGTAAGGGTACCTGTGGCAAAGGGTATCTCAAAAATGTATTATCAAAGTGACGTCTGTGAAGCAGGTTGAAAGAACGAGGGCCTGGATAGACGGGCCTTCTTTACCCCACAAAACAAATGAAACAAAAAGTAACTATACGCCTGCATAAGCCCTCAAAGGAGTGTGGGCTTATCTGAGACAGAGTGATGTAGCACTTTTTTATCTCACACAGTTCACATATTAAATTTTCAGAATCAACTTAAACATCACATAAGGCAGAAAATAAATGCTAAATAGCTTAAATATAAGAGAGGGGAACGTGTCAAAAATGAAGCGTCAAAAACAACAGATAAACAAAGCTTCGATTGGCTTACCAGTCACATAAAACAAAAAAATGACAAGTACGATACATAAAATATAAAAGAATGACAAAAACTAAAATCATATTTATCACAGAAATGAAAATCAAAAAGAGCAAATAAGAAGACTAAAAATAATAACTTCTAAAAGGCACGACAAGAATTAAAACGAAAAGTTAATTATAGTTATTAAGAATAGTTTAATCACTTTAAAAGGCATGATAATCCAATATAACGTCTACCCAACAGCCAACTAAAAACACCAATAGGAAAGGCATAAGGTGTGAGGAGTGACACCCGTATGTCATTTGTCCTCCAGGATCTTCAAGCTCTTCCGTAGCCGGGACTGGGGCAGGGGGGGGGGGGTTAAGGAAGGGAGAGACCGAGGTAAAAGGAACAGGAATAAGGCTTAGGGCAAAGGAAAAGGAATAGAAGAAGGAAAGAAAAAAGAAAAGAAAAAAAAACACTATCTAAATAATCATAGCGTATTAGGGTCTATGCAGTTTTAAGAGGAAATCGTGGAGTCTAAGGCATAGATAGAAAATAAGAAAGTTGCTATAAAGGGAAAAGAGAAAAACGACTGTTTAGAACAAGAGTAAAGAAAAGCTGAAGCAAAATAAGAAGAAAATGGATGCTAAGTTAGGCTAGGCAAGGAATACATGGAAGAATGGAAAAGAGAAAAATGTAGAAGAAAGAACATTAGGAGCAGAAGTATAATTGGATTACACAGGGGAAAAAGGGAAAGATAAAGAAGCTAGAATAGGGAAAGGAAAGGGAAAGAAAGGAATGGGTAGGCTGAAAAAAGGGGTGAGGGAAGGCAGAGAAGGGAGACCTAGCTATATGTGTGTGTGTCTCTATTTATGTATCTATATACACACACACACACACACACACACACACACACATATATATATATATATATATATATATATATATATATATATATATATATATATATATATATATGTGTGTGTGTGTGTGTGTGTGTGTGTGTGTGAGAGAGAGAGAGTGTGTGTATACATGCGTGTGTGTGTGTGTGATCCATCAATAAATACATCACACTAGATCTATTAAGCTTCTAAAATAACCTTAGAGTATCGTCACATTGTGAAAAGCATATACCTTAAACTCTATAAACATATTGAATAAATTCAATGCTGCAGCTAGATAAACATTTGCATAAAATAAGAAAGTAGCAGTAGATGACATAGCTACTGAAAGACGAGTTATGGAATGCAGGGTCACAGCCACTTGTCTGCCAGGGTCAAGGGCGAATGCAGTGACCACAGGTATATATACGACGAGACACAAGATGGTCACAGAGCATATTCCACCCACCGCCGTCATGACAGCCATTCAGGTGAGTGGATTTCTTTTATGACTTTAGCTATACTTTGAAATGTAACGAAATAAAATTATATACCTAATGTTTGGACGCATCTCTACTTAAAAACGTTAGTCTGTTATCTTTATGAAGGTTTCTTACGTTATTGTGAACAACTTCTAAGTGTTCATGACTGAGACCAGGACCTTATCTGTGAGCAGGTGTTCCTCGTGTTGGCTCTTTCCACCTCCGCCCTCTGCGACGACCTCGGGGGCTTGCTTCACGGAAAAGGCATCCACCATGTGAGTCGTTTCTTTCCCGATTTGTAGTGATTGTTCATGTAAACGACTCGATATTAGAAACTGCATTTCGTTTGTACATTCGAGCATTTTTTGTTCGCTTTGTAAAAGTTAATATAATTTATATATATACATCACCCAGGCTCCAGCTCACTACGCCTTCAACTACGGGGTTCAAGACGCCTACTTCGGCACCAACTTCGGCCACGCGGAGTCTCGCGACGGCTACAAGACGGAGGGCGTGTTCTACGTGCACCTCCCCGACGGCCGCCTCCAGACGGTCAAGTACTACGCGGACGAGCACGGCTTCCACCCCGAGGTCGCGTACTCGGGGGTCGCGCACCACGCCGCCGGTTACCACTAGTCGCTGCCAAAACGTGGAATGGAGTGAAGGGTGAATGAGTATGTTGTGACTGAATGGTATTCCCGCAACTCTGTATTTGTAAATAAATTATTCTCACTTGCTCTGTAACTGTTTTGTTTCCTATTGTGGATCTGTGGTAACTGTACCTTACAAATAGGCATAAATATCTCATGAGTCAGTATCTTATGGTTACACATTGCTGAATTTACTCATTTACTAACATAACACACACACGCACACACACACACACACACATATATATACATATATACGTATATATACATATACATATATATATATATTGTAAGGGTACCTGTGGCAAAGGGTATCTCAAAAAGGTATTATCAAAGTGACGTTGTCTGTGAAGCAGGTTGAAAGAACGAGGGCCTGGATAGATGGGGCCTCTTTACCCCACAAAACAAATGAAACAAAAAGTAACTATATGCCTGCATAAACCCTCAAAGAAGTGTGGGCTTATCTGAGATAGAGTGATGTAGCACTTTTTTTTATCTCACACAGTTCACATATTCAAATTTCAGAATCAACTTAAACATCACATAAGGCAGAAAATAAATGCTCAATAGCTTAAATATAAGAGAGGGGAACGTGTCAAAAATAGTTGTAATTATGAAGCATCAAAAACAACAGATAAACACAGCTTCGATTGGTTTACCAGTCACATAAAACTAAAGATGAGCGAGCACGATAAAAAATATAAAAGAATGGCAAAAACTAAAATCATGTTTAGCACAGAAATGAAAATCAAAAAGAGCAAATAAGAAAACTAAAAATAATAACTTCTAAAAGGCACAGCAACAAGAATTAAAAAGAAAAGTCAATCATAGTTATTAAGAATAGAGTCATTACTTTAACAGGGATAATACTCCAATATAGCGTTTACCCAACAGCCAACTAAAAACACCAATAGGCAAGGCATAAGGTGTAAGGAGTGACACCCGTATGTCATTTGTCCTCCAGGATCTTCAAGCTCTTCCGTGGCCGGGACTGGGGCAGGGGGGGTGGGGGTTAAGGAAGGGAGAGACCGAGGTAAAACGAACAGGAACAAGGCTTAGGGCAAAGGAAAAGGAATAGAAGATGGAAAATAAAAATAAAAGAAAAAAAATATCTAGATAATCATAGCGTCTTAGAGTCTATGAAGTTTTAAGAGGAAATCGTGGAGTCTAAGGCATAGATAGAAAATAAGAAAGTTGCCATAAAGGGAAAAGAGAAAGACGACTGTTTAGAACAAGAGTAAAGAAAAGCTGAAGCAAAATAAGAAGAAAATGGATGCTAAGTTAGGCTAGGCAAGGAATACATGGAATAATGGAAAAGAGAAAAATGTAGAAGAAAGAAAATTAGGAGCAGAAGTATAATTGGATCACAAAGGGGAAAAAGGGAAAGATAAAGAAGCTAGAATAGGAAAAGGAAAGGGAAAGAAAGGAAAAGGAAGAAAGGAATGGGTAGGATGGAAAAAGGGGTGAGGGAAGGCAGAGAAGGGAGACCTAGCTATATGTGTGTGTCTGTATCTATCTATCTATATATACATACACATATATATATACATATATATACATATATATGTGTATATATATACATGCGTGTGTGTGTGTGTGATCCATCAATAAATACGTCACACTAGATCTATTAAGCTTATAAAATAACCTTAGAGTATCGTCACATTGTGAAATGCATATACCTTAAACTCTATAAACATATTGAATAAATTCAATGCTGCAGCTAGATAAACATTTGCATAAAATAAGAAAGTAACAGTAGATGACATAGCTATGCAATGCAGGGTCACAGCCACTTGTCTGCCAGGGTCAAGGGCGAATGCGGTGACCACAGGTATATATACGACGAGACACAAGATGGTCACAGAGCATATTCCACCCACCGCCGTCATGACAGCCATTCAGGTAAGTCTTTTTCTTTTATGGCTTTAGCTAAACTTTGAAATATAACGAAATAAAATATATTTACCTAATGTTTGGACTCATCTCTACTTAAAAAACGTTAGTCTACTATTTGTCCATAGTTTTTTTTAAGTTATTATGGACAACAGCGAGTTGTGAGTTTTTCTTACGTTATTATGAACAACTTTTAAGTGTTCACGACTCAGACCAGGACCTTATCTGTGAGCAGGTGTTCCTCGCGTTGGCTCTTTCCACCTCCGTCCTCTGCGACGACCTCGGGGGCTTGCTTCACGGGAAAGGCATCCACCATGTGAGTCGTTTCTTCCCCGATTTGTGACGATTGTTCATGTAGACACAACTCGATATTAGAAACTGTTTGCACATTCGAGTGTCCGCTTTGTAAAAGTGAATATAATTTATATCTGTACCATCTCCCAGGCCCCAGCCCACTACGCCTTCAACTACGGGGTTGAAGACGCCTACTTCGGCACCAACTTCGGCCACGCGGAGTCTCGCGACGGCTACAAGACGGAGGGCGTGTACTACGTGCACCTCCCCGACGGCCGCCTCCAGACGGTCAAGTACTACGCGGACGAGCACGGCTTCCACCCCGAGGTCGCGTACTCGGGGGTCGCGCACCACGCCGCCGGTTACCACTAGTCGCTGCCAAAACGTGGAATGTAATGAAGGGTGAATGAGTATGTTGTGACAGAATGGTATTCCCGCAACTCTGTATTTGTAAATAAATGATTCTCACTTGCTCTATTATTTATTTGTATCCCATTGTTGATTTGTGGTTGCTGTGTGCTAAGCATATAGATCTAGATGATAAATGCTTATAGATTGTTGCATTTGAACATTTACTAATATCATACACACACATAAGCGTACGCACACACGCACACACACACACACACACATACACACACACACACACACACACACACGCACACACACACACACACATACACACGCATGTAGTTATATCATCGTTTCTCAATAGTGTTTATTTTTTTACACAATAAATACTATTGATAGGTGTACTTCGTAAAACATATTATCTTTTTATGTTTAACAGACACATTATTCGCATAGTTATGCTGTCAAAAATACTTGTGAGTCCTGAGTCCATTGTAGATTGATATTCTTAGGAAATTAATGAAAATGAGACACTAATACGGGAAATAATATTTCAAAATTTGTGTTATACAATATACTCTCTTGTCTTGTTTTCCGCTGATGATAAACATTAACGAACTAATCACGGCTGCATATACAGTTTGGCTCCTCTCAACGTACTAAATACGGCGGTTGGACGGAGACATTTCACAAAAAAAAATTAAAAAATGAGCACAGCAGCATTTTCCAATTTTTTGTTCATTTTTACACGACGCGAATGGGTTAAGTGACTTATAACGTACTAGTAACAACAAAAACACAACACACACATACATATATGTATATATGTATATATAAATACATATATAATTACATATAACTATATCTACATATAAATCTCTCTATCTATCAATAACACACACAGCAGACACACACACACACACATACACATACACATACACACACACACACACACACACACACACACACACACACACACACATATATATATATATATATATATATATATATATATATATATATATATATATACACACACATATATTTATATGCATATATATGCGTACAATGGTGTGTGTATGGTTATATGTATATATATGTATGTATCAAATATATATGTACATATATTATATATATACATATGCGCATATATATATATATATATATATATATATATATATATATATATATATATATATATATATACATATATATATATATGTGTATATATATATATATATATATATATATATATATATATATATATATAAACATATACACGGATGTAAATCATGAAAATTTGTTCGGGTAAAGTACACCAACATCTCCATCATTCTTGAGGCTATCTCTAGTCTTTCGTGACATTGGAAAAAAAAACTATCGTAATATTCTTTTGTTCTTTGCTCTGTTTTATATGATACTGCGTATATCTTACACAAAAAATATATATTGTCAGTCCGCTGAGTGTCATGATTAGATAAAACAAAATTCTGACTTTACATTTATTACATTCATCTGAGTGTTAATGCAAAATCTGAATGAGAAATGGAAGGAGAGCTAAAAAATATATGTATCATATTTTGTCTCCTTTCTCTATAGTTTTGATTGATAGGCCTAGTTTTTTATATTAATTTTATCATTTGATGGTGATCTATATAAGAAATAGGAACTTGAACAGAGAGAGAAAAAAGTTAATACTCAAAGATGTATACTTACACAGTATGTAGTTATCTTAATCATATAAGACCCATTTACGATTATAACAAATAAAGAGAGAGTGGAGGTGGGGAGGAGGGGAGGGAGAGAGAGAGAGGTGGGAGGGGGGAGGCCGAGAGAGAGAGGTTGGGGGAGAGGTGGGGGAGGGAGGGAGAGAGAGTGGGGAGGCAGAGGGAGAAAGTGAGAGTGAGAGAGAAGAGAAGAGAGGAGAAAGAGAAAAAAAAAAAAAGTTTACAGACACAGAAACCAATAACCAAAAACTGAAAGAAAGAGGAAAACCCAGAACACCAGAGAAAGAACTCAAGAACACAAAGAACAGACGTCTAAAGGCAACAACATCAGACAAGGAACACATCATAGCACCTCAGAACCTGTCGAGTGCATGTGACAAGGAACTACACATACACACACACCTTCTAAGAGTCAGTAACCTTGCCGAGAATCTCCTTCAATCATAAGTCACTTCAGATAGTTATTCATGCGTAAGATTTCAGCCGGATTCGAGGTCCCTCTCCATTTCTCTCCAGCTGTGACAAATTCTGAAGTACGATGAAAGTTATTGAAGGAATAATATCTTTTGTTTTTTGTTTATTTTGTTGTTGTTGTTTTTTGTTTGTATGTTGTTGCATTTTTTTTGGGGGGGGAGGGGGATTTTGAAAATCGCACGGTCAATACTTCTTGTTTGGTGATATTTGCACGGGTTGGGGTAAATACCGTTTTGAGGGAGAT